CCCCAGTCTATCCCTTCCCACCCTCTACCCCGCCCCCCACCCCGGTAAACAAGTCTGTATTCTCTGTCCATGAGTCTATTTCTGTCCTGTATTTATGCTTTGTTTTTGTTTGTTTGTTTGTTTTTGTTTTTTAGATTCCACATATGAGCGATCTCATATGGTATTTTTTTTCTCTTTCTGGCTTACTTTACTTAGAATGACATTATCTAGGAGCATCCGTGTTGCTGCAAATGGCATTATGTTGTCGGTTTTTATGGCTGAGTAGTATTCCATTGTATAAATATACCACATCTTCTTTATCCAGTCACCTGTTGATGGACATTTAGGTTGTTAAATGATATCATATGGTATTTTTCTGGAAGCTGTTTCTAAAAGATCATGGCAGTGATGTATTTATTTAAATGCCTCAATTACCTTTAAACAATGGATCAAATTAGTAAATTTTAAGGAAAAAATGCCTTAAGAAGGTAACTATTTAGCAATTATTTAAATTGACTTGATTTCATTATCTATCTCCTTAGGACAAATAGCTTAAAGCTGGAAGGTATAAAGAAATTGTGGGGGAAAGAGGGCTATCTTCCCAAGAAGGGAAGCAAAACTGGTGATGAAACTGAAGCACCACCTGTTCCTCAAGAAACTATGATAATGGAGAATGTAGATCAAACTATGACAAAAAAAGATCAGTCTCAAGTCCCTACCCAATCTAAAGAGGAGAAAGAAAAGCAGCTGCTGGCATCATCATTATTTGTTGGGCTAGGATCAGAAAGTACAGTCAATTTGGTAAGTAGTTATGAGAATCTGTGTCCCCTGTTTTGTACACAAAAACTGGCTCTATAAAAGCTCTTGGCTGTTATCTATACACATGGTGGGAATGACTTCCCCACCTCCAGAGTCACCAGTGACATACCTTTTATATAGAAAGAGAAAATCTAGTTTATTTGACTTGAATTAGCTGTTCCCTTTAGTCCAGTCAGTAAGGGCAAGGATCAGTGTTCAAATTAAGTTACAAACATGACCACAGGTATTCTCACCCCCATGGATAGAGAGGACAGGTCTCAATGGGAAAGGGTCTTGATGTAAATATTGTCAGTAATAGTAGTTCAACAATATTGGTATGTCTATAGGAAAAATACTTATTAAAATGTTCTTTTTAATAGTGAAAAATAGGAATCAGATGTCTAACAAGGGGAGTGGGTACATAAATCATATTAGCTCTAAATATTTTCATCATTAAGATGATAAATACTTCATTGTAAAATTGAAAAATACTTATACATTAAGCAAAAAAGCAGAATATGAAGTTTTACTTATACCTTGTTTATAACTTTTAAGAAAATAGAAGTATATTGAGATTGAAAGGAATTATACAAAAATGAAAATTATATTCAGGCATTATGATGATGATGATTTCTAAAACTTTTTATGCTGGTAGATTATTGTCTTAGTGAAAGAATGAGAAATTGGAGTGAAGGACACATGCTATTTTTGAGTATCTGAGAATTCCATGTGTAATTTTCTGCTTGGTGGGCAGGTGAACCTACCTTGTGAAAACTTGTGATGAGAGCTACATTTTCTTCACTTTTAAGTCATGCCTGTTCTTTCATCCTTCTTCTCCTTGGTGAAATTTTCCTTCCATCTGTCTACACTAGGATAGACTCCAGGCTACACTTTTTGCCTGTATCTCTTTCTTTTCCAGACTCCATTTCTGTCAGACTTGATATTCCTTTCTAAGAAAAAATGAATTCAACCTGAAAGTGTTACTAAGTAATGTATCTTAAGTAATGTCTCAGTCAGCATTTGCAGTTTAGCAGCAAAGTGACTGATCTTGGGTCTTTGAGCTGTCCCAGCAGGCTCTGGTGAGGGTCCCAGTGAATGATGTGGCACTGATAGGGCAAGTTCTCAGTGGTCAGAGTGCCTCAAGGTCATAGTGCACCCAGGCTTATGGAGCCCTGATTTGTGTACCTCATTGCTGGTGTTGACAGTTTCTTGCCTTCTGTACAAAGTGCATAGCTTTCAGTTGGAGTTTCCCAGGAGAACATTCAGAGTGACAAGTTAACTACCAGACTTTTTTCTTGTGGGCTTGAAATAAAAAATGTATTCAGGATGTTTTTCTATTTAAACTAGGTTAAATCCTTTTTGGATTACCCCTTACACTTTTCTTTTCCCCTGAGCTATCAATAGAATAGGTTTTTGTTTTTTTTTTAAAAAGGAGTGTATTTCCCTGTTTTGTGCTGCCCTGAACTCTGTCAGGAACTGTGTTATAACTCAGATGGCATCATGTAGAAAGGAGGGGAAGCAATTCATTATGTAAAATTAGCATGTATCCTCTTACCCCTCAACCCTAACTTTTCCTCTGTCACTAGGGCAAAGCAGGCAGGATTGGCACTGGCTATAGTCCCTCTGTATCATAACTCCTTTTGAATGGCTGCTCTTCTCTAGCAATCCTAGTCCCTTCTTATTTTTCTAATGTTTAAAGTCCTTAGTTCCATAGACCAAGACTGTATTGAGTATTTCCTTGTAACTAGCTTTTATTTTTAGGTCTATGCTCCATTTTGAATTAATTGTTTTTACATAGTTCACTGTAGGGGTCAATGTTTTTTCCCATCTTTGCTTTTTATTTCACCTTTATTTTAAAAAATATTTTCTATCAGTCATGAATTTGAGGTAGACTGTTTCTTTTCTTTAATTTAACAAAGATGTCACTCCATTGTCTTCTGACTTGTGTTGCTTGTAACAGCCGATTAGACAGTACACAAGAAAAGATCATTACACTTGAAGACAAAGTAATAGAAATTATCCAAACTGAAACACAGAAAGAAAAGACAAAACAAAAAAACCCCAGGGCATCAACAACCTGAGGAACAGTATCCAGCAGCCCCTCTACTGGAAATGGAAGTCCTTCATTCCCCCTACCCTCCCCAGCTTGGTTTCATTTTTATGTTAATACAGTGTTCTTGTTTGATGATTTCTGAATTGAAAGTTAGAAGATAGACTTATCTCTGAGAGTTGGAAGAGATGTTGGAACTTGAGGGGATGAGAGGGTATGAAAAGGAAACTAGAATGCTAGTTAACTAGAATCATGTGAGAGGTGGCCACACAGTGTGAAAGGCCGCAGAAGGATGGACTTAAAGTAGCGCCAGTCTGCTGCATAGATTCCAGAGAGAACTATGAGGCAAGGGGGCACTTGGGCCATTACTCTTCTTACATAGATTTGCAGATATTTCCTTGAGAGGTTTAGCTTAAGGATGACAAATAAACTGTTGCCACCTCCTGAGTCAGTAGCAAACATCACTAGTCACTTACAGAATTCTTTCCTGCTGTGTCTTCTAGTTGGCCACTACCAGTTGATTCTTGAAGTAAAATCAGTTTTTATTCTCTGTTTATTGACTCACAGGTTGTGAAAACATGATTATTATAGATTACTGAACCAAAGTTTGAGCCATACCTGTATTTGAGAGTATCTTAGCTTCTTTAGGACATCTGGAAACTCAAGAAATGGCTAGCTTTCTCACTCATTTTGTATACTATATTCTGGTATTCTGAAGTCTAACAAGTTTTTAGACTTGTTCATGATCAACTTTTTGACCTTATTTCTTTTTCTGCTTTTATGTGTTTTTAGTGAGAAATGTTTTAGCTAATAGTTCAAAGTTATGTAACTGTCAGAATTTTAGGACTTAACATTTTATTCATCTCTGATTCTTTGTTAATCTATGCTTTATAGATAGAACCTTAGCAAGTTAGTAAATTGTTCATTTGAAATTACAGAAAATGTTTAAAACTCATGACTTTGAATGATTTCTTTTTATATTATGCTTTATTTTGCAGCTAGGAAAAGTAGATACTGTCTCTCACAAGTTCAGAAGAAAATCAAAAGTCAAGGAAACGAAAACTGGGGAAACAACCAGTACTCATAATATGACATGTTCTTCCTTTAGTTCTTCATCAAATATGACTTATGAAGAAGATTATTATTTGGATAATTTTCAGGATAGAGGAGATAAAGAATTAAAGAAAATTTCTCTTAATTCAGAACTTTTGGATTCTGAGTCACTCTCAGAACTGCCCTTGGTTGAGAAACTCTCAAATTGCAGACTGTCTGCACCCTCTTTGTTTGCTGATAACATGGAAGTTTTTCACCCTCCTCAATCCACTACAGCCTTGGTTGCCAGTGAAATCTCTTTAGCTTCTTCTTTGTTGGAAGAAACCACTGAACACATGCATTCAGATCCTACAGAAGTCTGTAATAATGAAACCATATCAGTGTCTTCCTACAAAATTTGGAAAGATGATTGTTTGTTGATGGTCTGGTCACTTTCGAATAAGAGTGGTTTGGAACTGAAAAGTGCTAACTTAGAAATTGCTCCTGTAGAATATTTCAAGGTAAGACAATGAGTGGTTCATTATTTCTGCCTTAAATGGACAGCAATTCTTATTAGTGTTTCTATGTTGTCTCTTCTGGTTGCTTATAAATTTCTCCCACATCTTTTCTTTCTTCTTTAGCAAAAAAAAGTAAAAGGTGTGAGAGTTTTTAAAATTATTTTAAGTAGGGATGTATTATTCAAAAGAGACAACAAAACATAGTAAAGATTGTTTTGGGGAAGCCCATAAATAAAAAGTGAGTTTCAATGGAGCACAGTAGTTAAGAATGTAGACTCTTGACTTAGACTGCTTGACTTTGAATCTTGCTTCTGCAGCTCATTAGCTGTGTTACATGGTCAAGTTTTATAAATATTTTGTACCTCAGTTTCCTCACATTTAAAATGAAGATATTAATAGTGTGAGCCTATGTACTTTACTGACTGCTCAGGCATCAATTCTGTTTCTTTTCTAGCTCCAAGATACTGCCATTGTGATATCTGGAAATATGCTAATTGCATTGTTGTGTGAATGTCTTTGGTGGAGTTATAATGATATTTAACCAGTAATCAGTATTCCACAAAACTGACCCAGTTTTTTCTATGAGCTAGAATGTATTGAGTGGGATATTACCTGGGCCTGACCTGGGCAGAAATTCATGCCTCTAGATGTGCATTAGAACCACCCATGGGAACTTAAAAACACAAAACAAACCCAAATTCAGTTGCCTGAGCTTTACTACCAGAGCTTGAGTAGGGGTGGAGAATGAGAAGGGAAGACACCTGAATTTAAAAAAAACTCTCCTAGTTTTAAAAATCTGTTGCTAGCTAGTATTGAGAACCATAAGACTAGAATTTAATGGGGTTTTTTGTTGTTAAATTATACAAATGTTTACATTGTAGTGCCATTTACTACATAATTTTGTCCTGTGTTCTATTATTTCTTGATTGTCTGTGTTTGTGAGTTTTTCTCAAGTGAAATTGTCAGTTATCTTCATAATGTGGTTCGTTACTAACATCTCATAATAGTATGCTTTTTTACCACTTCAATTAAATAGAAAATTGGTATTCATATGATAGTATGTATTGATCCCTGCTTCAATACTTATATTATTTTTATTTACAGATCACTGAGCAACCTGGATGCTGCTTGCCTGTAATAGAAGCAGAAAGTACCCAAAACTTTCAATATAGTGTGCAGATGGAAAAACCTTTTACAGAAGGGAATCTTTCTGGTTTTATAAGTTATCAAATGATGGATACACATTCTGTTCAGCTGGAATTTTCAGTAAATTTATCACTGTTAGATTTCATTAGGTAAATATTTTCTGGAATGTTAATTCAAGTTATCCATTCATTCAGGAAATACTTATTAGCCCTTTTCTCAGGACAGAGCGCCATGCTAGATGCTTGGGACTATAACAACTCAAAACCAGACACAGTCCCTACCATTAGGGAGTGTTCAGTCTAGGGAGGAGTCATCAAACAGTCATATAAATGCATATATAATTGTGAATTGTGCTGTAAAGAAAAGGTAAATGTGTAATCAATGATTATAATATGAGACCTGATTTAGATTCAGGTTGGTTAATGATCTTGGAAAACTTCTGAGGGAAAGTAGTATTAAAGTAATGTTTAAACTGAAATAATCTCAAAGATTTTTTTTAAGCTTTTTTAAGTTTCTCTCATTTTTATTTCACTTGATCAATTCTTTCATAAAATCTGTTCATTAATTAAGCCTTAGAGATCTTCAAGAAAACTATTCAACAAAGTTATTGAACTTTTATTGGACATACAGTAAGTGTTTAGTATATTTAGTAACACTAGACACTATGTAGTGTTACCCAAATGATTGAAACCAGCCTTTTAATTCCTCTACTCTCCTTTAGTATTATGAATATATTGTACTACTGTATTCAAACATTTTTAAAATGAGTCCTCTCTGAACCAAGGATGCAGAATACCCATGAATATCTATAAATTTTTTTTAAAGCTTCACATGTTTACTTGTGTTACACTACCATAATGTTTGCCCATTCTTTAAAGTCTTTTAGCAAGAACATGTTTTATCAGTCAGTCAAAGAGTATTTAATTATGTCCATGGTGCTGAAAAGATAGAATCCAGCCTTCAAAAAGCTTAGAGTCTATGACTATAAAGGTATGTCCCATGGTGAGCATTAGTAACGTGAAGAAGCACAGTATATGTGACCCAAACAGTTCTTCTGTGTGTATTAGTAAAATCCTCTGTACCTGAAAAAAATTTTTCTTAATTATAAAATCAGTACGTACTTATACAAATTGAAATGCTTCTAGAAAAATTTAAGTAGAACAGAAAAGTTTCCTATAATTCCACCTGAGATACCCACTACTATTTGATCTTTAGTCTCTTGAACCATTTAAAAAATATATTTGTTAAAATCCTTTTTCCTGATCCATTTTGCTTAAGGTGCTGGGTCTTTGTATTCATACTCTTGTATGTAACTTTGATAGAGTATCTCATTTTCCCCAAGTCTAAAGGATACATGAAAGAAAAGTTTTATATTTGAATGATTCATGAAATTACTTGGTGAAAGTTTTACTGAAATGACTAATACTCAGAAAAAAGGATAATTTATTGAAAAGACTTTTGTTCTTTAATAACATCTTTGCTTTCAGTATTTTCTTTATGATTGGAGGAAGATGGTAAGCATTCTAATCACATTTGGTGTAAAAACAACTTTTGTGGGATCCAGAATTATAATGTTTTTTTTATTTCCATGAGTCATTTGAAATCTATTTGTTTGCTTAGAATTATTTCATTCTTTTGGACATAAATCTAATTTAAAAAATTATTTTCAGACCATTAAAAATCTCAACTGAAGACTTTGGCAAACTCTGGTTATCCTTCGCAAATGATGTGAAGCAAAATTTAAAAATGTCAGAATCTCAAGCTGCTCTGCCTTCTACCCTGAAGACCCTGCAGCAGGAACTAAGACTTCATGTTGTTGACATTATAGGTTCGTAGAGCTCTGAAAAGGCAATGAATCTTGTATTTATAGGGGCTTTCACACAGTCAGAACACAGATCAGCTCTTAACAAGTATCAGGTTTCTTAGAGCTGTATTTCCTGTTATGAGTATCTTTCAGATGACTTATTCAGACTTTACTGAAGAATTTTTGTGTATGGTAAAGTATACATAACAAAATTTACCATTTTAACCATTTTTAAGTGCACAGGTTTGTGGCATTAAGTACATTCATCTTGTTGTGCAACCATCACCACTATCATCCCCAGAACTTTTTCCTCTTCCCTAACTAATACTCTGTACCCATTAAACACTAGCTCCCCATTGCCCCTCTGTGTATAGCCCCTAACAACGACCATTCTATTTTCTGCCTCTGTAGAATCTGACTACTCTAGGTACCTCATCTAGGTGGAATCATACAATATTTGTCCTTTGTGATTGGCTTATTTCACTTACAATGTCTTTAAGGTTCATCCATGTTATAGCATATGCCAAAATGTCCTTCCTTTTTAAGCCCGAATACTGTTCCATTGTATGAACATTTTGTTTACCCATTTATCTGCTGTTGGATACTTGGGTTGCTCCCAGCTTTTGGCTATTATGGAAATGCTGCTTCAAACATGGGTGTACAAACATATGAGTCCCTGCTCGCTTTCTTTTGATTATAGTCCCAAAAGTAGAATTGCTGAATCATATGGTAATTCTGTATTCAATTTTTGAAAAACTGTGATACTGTTTTCCACAGCAACCACATTATTCATATTTCTACTAGTAATGCACAGGGTTCGCATTCCTTCACATCTTCACCAGCACTTATTTATTTATTTAGATAATTGCCATCCTAATGGGTGTGAAGGAGTATCTCTTTGTGGTTTTGACTTGTATTTCTTGTATTTGACTTTTATTAATGATCAGTGATGTTGAATATCTTCTTCATGTGCTTATTGGCCAGTTGTAGATCTTCTTTGGAGAAATGTCTATTGAAGTCCTTTTGTATTAAAGAACTTTTAACTCTGTTTTGTTGTAGGCAATGAAGGGCTATTGGCTTGTCAGCTTCTCCCAACCATCCCCTGCTTGCTGCATTTCCGAGTTCACGGTGACATACTAGCCCTGTGGTTCAGATCCTCCTGCTCTACTCTTCCTGACTATTTACTTTATCAGTGTCAAAAGGTGATGGAGGGATCCTAGCAGAAGCTCTGCTTATGTTTTACTCCATCAAAATAAATGGTTTACATAGATAAACTTATTTACCAAAGTAAAAAGAACTCATGGTACTTCTAATGAAAATGGGGATTATTACAAGTTGTGGTTCTATGTATTTTCTTTATGGTTCCTGATCAAGAAAGATCCCCAAGAAGCTATATCCCTAACCTTTTACTCAGGATTGTACAGTATGTTTGGGTCCCCAAAAAGTGACCTAAGCTAATGTTATAAACTGCTAATGATTTCTATATCACTTAGTATAGAGGGACTGAAAATATTTATTTTGTTACAAATAATTTTATAGCAAATTTACTGTAGTGCTAGCTGATTTTGGTAAAGCCAAGTCTCAGTTCTCTGCATTAATGGAGGGGAGACATGGAACTGATAATCCCAAACCTAATTCATATTTGGCTTTGGAATGCAGTGTGTATTCTCTGGTAGGCAAGTGATTACTTTGAATTATATTTTGTTTAGGTCAGTGTTGAACTAAATTGGCACAGCACACACTAACAGTTCAGGAGAGCCATGAGCATTTTGGTTATTGGGAGGATCCAATCTGTGATATAGTTTTTGTTGTAACTTGTTACACATAATTGCAGATAATTTGGTTACAAAATTTGTTCTCCATTTGTGTTTATTTTTAGAGTTCAAAGTGAACCACTGTATTCTTGTTTTAAAAACTCAGAGCCATTTACAAAATATTATCATATAGAAACAAAACCTGTAAGAGCACACAGTACTAAAGTAAACAGATATAAAAGGACTTTTTAGTTATGGTAAGTATTTTAGTCACCACTTAGGTTTTTTTTGGCAAATTAAAATTTGTAATTGGAGAATAAATGGCAAAACCATCTTTCCTGGCCTTTGAATCCACTAGTACTCAATTGATAGAAACAAAAGAGTAACTGTCTAAGTATACCAGACAGGTTCTTCAATAAAACATATCATTTCATGGCCTCTGTTAGAACTATTATCAGTAAAAAGTTAAGCTTAGTATGATTGATAGAGCAGAATCTTGAGATTGTACATTAATGTTAAAAACTAAAATAGTGTTTTATAAAACTTTATGGTGCTGTGGAAAATATTTATTATTTCACTTTTTTGACACTTCACCATGGAGACTATTCAGGTAATATAATTTTAAGTCATTGCAGTTAATACGCTGGTTAATTGGTACTATTCATCATCCAGGTGTGGAATTCTCATTTTAGGTTGTCTCTTTAATCATAGCTGATAAAGATGCTAAGGTGATTCCCCAAAGCTGATAGATTTCATCAGTCATTTGTGTTTAGCATGTTTTTCCCTAAAAATAAAAGCAGTATTTTTAAAATTATTTTTAAGTTATTCATTTAAAAAATAATACCTTGTTAATTTCATGCTTTTTAAAAACATGCAGTAAAACCTTGCTATAAGAGCAATGAAAAGTGACTAGAAATTTCCTGCATAGGTTATCCTTTTGAGTAGAAGTTCAGATTGATCCTGAAGCTCCCAGCAGTGTCATGCTGAAGGGAATGTGCTTTCTCTGGGGTGTGGTGGACACTGGTGGCTAGACTCATCAGCTTTCTCTTTATTCCTCCCTCTGTCAGTAGCACCCCCACCTCCCACCCCACCTGATTCTTTATTCTTACAAAGAGATGGGAAGTGCCCTCTCACTTGGCAGAGGAATGTGCCATGTGGTAAAAGAGATGCTTCAGTTTTTTGTGTCCTTATTTCTGTGATTTGCATGGTCATTGAGGCTGGTTCAGGTGTGGAGCAGTGGAAGTAAGGGGTCCAGCAGGCAGATGGACAGTTGACTGAGAGAGATTAAAATGAGCTACTGTGCTTTGAAACACGGGTGTTCATGGGTGGCCTACGGTGCTGTGTAATGGTGGAAGCGTGGTAGGTTAGGGCTGGGAGCATGATTTTGGGTCTGCCAAAGGAAACGTGTCACTTTTGTTCTTTCTGAACCCACTAATTAAGAAGTAGGGTAACAGGATTTCTATTGAAATGTTTAGTAGAATGTTTACATTTTTATATTTTTAATAGTTTTAAAAACAAATAATAATAGGAAAGAGTAGATTTTAAAGAACCTGAGAGCAGTATATGTTCTGCCTGAACTAATTCAATGTTCTGAGTTCTAGATCAGGCATCACCAACTTTTTTTGCATTGTGGAAGATACGACTATGAAGTGAGAAGAAAGACTTTTGGGGGTAGATCATCTCTTTATTTTATAGTCATCATTTAGTCAAGTAAAGGGACAGTATCTCGAATAAGAGCTGTGGGAGGAGGATACTCAGCTGTGTGAATTCTGTGCCAGACATCTTTGCTGAGAATCCAGGTCGCAACAAGTTTGAATCTGAGGGACAATAAAGGGAAGACACGAAGGTCTTGAGAGCAGATGGAGGAAGAACAATCAGGCTTCCACTGGCATAGTCCCTGTAGGATCAGGCAGATTAGTCTCAGGGGAGTGTGGGCCCTGAGTAAGGGTCCTTCTGACAAAACTACAAATGGAAGCTGAGCAGTTACCAAGTGCTAATGTGCCAAGCATGCCAAGCACAGTATATGCTCTGCAGAGAAGCATTATTTTAAAAATATTCTCTCATCTACCAAAACATTTATGGTGAAAATGCAGTATTTTATTCTTTCCTTTATTTTTCTTCCTGTCACTAATATTTAAAGATAATTGAGCTATTTGTCTTTTTTTAATGGGTAAACGTGGTCTTTGTCTTATGATTGTGAGCCACTGAAAGTGCATTGAACCTATCTTCATGTCTTAAGGTGTTTTGCTGTGTTAAAATTTTAGGAGGGAAAAATACAAGTGAATAACAACTTAATAGGCATTAATTAACTTATTTTGGAGCCGAATTCTGTAATTTGAAAAAATTCACTTAAGCATAAAATAAATACAACGTGATATATGCTGCTCTTTGGTCTATACATTCTTTATTAGCCAAATAGCTGAATAATAAGTAATACTATTCAGTAATTTGATAAGCATTAGCTTAAAAGAGCAAAAGCAATTGGAATGGGATGAAAAGAGTAATTTACTCATTACAGCCCCAAAGAATCTAGTTTAATTAGTTAAAAGTCAAGATACTGCTGTTTCTGTATGATGTTCAGAGAAAACTTTGTGGGCTTCCGACAGGTTAGAGCATGGATCGATCCTCAGGTGCCTGTCATATCCCCTGCTTTCGTCCTAGCCTGACCAGAGCATTCAGAGCAGTGTTCTGTTTCTATATTGCCTTTCCTCAAGATGCAAGAAACATGGTAAGTCAGATGGAGATTTAGTGTCCAAAGACTCTGAGTCTCCTGGCCATCTCTGCATCATGTACCCTAAAACATAAAGCTAGGCCAGAAATGGTGTTTAAATCTCACTTGATTTATTCCTCTTGTTGCCTATAATGTATAGAGGAAGAAAGTTCTGAGATTTGAAGCCTCATCTTTGGGGCATTGAAGGTAAAATAAGTTTAATGTACCACACTCACTGCAGTAATTAAAAAGGAGGCTCTTGAAGGGAGGGGTGGCCTTCGGCCAAATAGATCAAGGTTAGTGATTGTATGAAAGTTACTTGTTCATGTGCATACATAATGAAAGACTATGAGCTTTTTATGGCTAGGTTTTTATGGTTGTGCCAGTTTGTACCACGTGGGGGAGAGGAAATATGACTGCTTGATGAGACCCTTACCAGCCTAAGGCTAAGTGCCATGAGAACTTGCCATGACATTTTAGAGGTCTCTCTGCTAGTGCAATGTCATTACAGATAGAAATTATGACTTGGAGAAGGGGGACTTTTCTGTAATATGACAGATGTCCATAAAGTCTTACTGGTCTAGAAGGACTTGTTCTAGGACAGAAAGCAGTAGACAATTGATCAGTTTGTAATTAAAGATAGGGAGCTAATGAATATGATAAGGCAGACTTACCAGCTAAATTAGTATCTTTGGGGCACTGGAGGTAGAAAATAAGAATGATAATAAGAGAGACAACTATATTGACATTAATAAGGTCAATAGCTTCAGGAAAGTGGTAAAAAACAGGCCCTCTGGGATAAAGCACAGGAAAAGGAGTAAAAGGAAATATGTTTCATTTGCATCACATGGGAAACTATGGTAGGTACATGGGTCTAAGATAAGAGGAGACCCCCCAAAATGAGTCCCAGAGTACCATGAGGAATTAATGATTATGACCTGAATATAGAGAAGATGGGCCTGGGTGTGGGGCAAGTACAGATGATGTCAAACACGTGAGTTTACTGGAACACCTGTAATGCTGAAAAAATAGTGGGTCCTTGTCAGTGGTTGCAGCTAGATTGTGGGCTTCCTTCCAAGGGATGGGATCAATTTCTTTGAGTTGTTTTAAACTATTTTCCTAAGTGGATGAGTACTTTTCCTTCCTTAAAACATTAAATTGCCAGTGTGAGTAAATGGCTGATCTCAGGAAGATTTTCCCTGTTGGGGTCTAGTAGGACGTGTGCCAAGTAGATAGAGTCTAGAGCCTATAGATTATTTGTATTTCATTGAGAGAAATACATGCCTTAAATTACGTGACAAGTTAGAACAGAGACAAGGCATAAATATTCTCAGGGAGAGGCATTTGGTCTGATTTGCTACCACATAATTTAATGACAGTAAGGGCAAAACCAGTGACTGGAACAAGTTGGTCCTCGATGATATGTATCAAGGGATAGGAATTTAATGTTTTCATCTTAGTTGACTGATTAATGGTTGATGGGATTAAATAGAGGAGTTTTTGTGAGCTATGGGAAAGGTGAAATTGTTTGAACCCAAATACTGTACCAGCCTTCACCTACTGAAGTGATAGGAGTATCTTTTGTTATTCATAAAGAGCCTTTTTGAGCACACTTGAGTTAATGCTAATGAGGTAACTTTAGAGTAAGGCCCCCACAGAGCCTCAGAAAGGGGCTGATCCCCTGAAAGACCAAGCAGTTAGAGAGTTAGAACTTTCAGTCCTACCCACTGACCTCAGGGAAGGGGAGGGTTTGGGGGCTAGAGATTAAACTGTAAAAACTCTTCAACAAAGGGATTTACTGAACTTTTGTGTTGGTGAATGCATCCACATTCTGAGAGGGTGACAGACCCTAGTTGACAGAGACAGATGTTCCTGTGCTTGGCACCCTTCTGTTCCTCAGCAATGCACCTCTTCATCTGGTTTTTCATCTGTATCCTTTATAATGTTCTTTATAATAAATTGGTAAACATAAGTAAAGGTTTCTCTGAATTCTGTGAGCCAATCTGGCAAATTAATTAAACCTGAGAAGTGGGTCATGGGACCCTCCAATTATAATCAGTGGGTCAGAAAAGCACAGGTGACAATCTGGACTTGCCATTGGCATCTGAAGTGGGACTGAACCTTTAACTTGTAAGATTTAATGCTATCTCCAGGTTGATAGTGTCAGAATTAATTTGTAGGACAGCCAGCATTTGTCTGCCCAGAACTGGAAAATTGCTTGGTGGTATGGAAAAACCCCACAGCAACTGACAGATAAAGATTGATTTAGGTTATACAATGTGGTTTTTTTCAAGTTGTGTGGCATGATATAATATCCATTGTGAAATGATTACCACGATCAAGTTAATTAATAACATCCATCACTTCACAATTACTTTTGTGTGTGTGTGTGGAAAACAAATACAGAAAATGCTATTATTAACTGTAGTCACCATGGTATCCGTTAGACCAGGGAACATTTTTAAAATCCCTTAGCCTAGGCCATAGTCAGAATTTCTGAGGGGTTGAATCCAGGCCTTAGTAATTTTTAAACTACACAGGTAATTAACAGCATGGAACCAAGTTTGAGAACCACTGTTTTAGATGCTACCTCACCCCACTCTCAGTGGGATTGTTTTTGGTTGTGTTTTCTCCACATTCCCTCCTGCAGTGGAGATTGATTAAAAGTAATTAGTTATTGAGTGTTTGGGTGGTAGGTAATGGCATTATTTGGGAAGATTTGGTAGGTACAGGGAAGGAATCCTGTGTGAGTATATAAAAAGTTGTAGGTCCTATGGCAGTAGCAACTTCGTGTTTGAATTTTCCTAAATCTCCACATAAAAATGGGCAGAGAAACTAGATAGCAAAACCAAAATCCACATAAAAATTTTACAACAAAACTAAGTGACAAGTTATCCCTATGAGTCCCAACATACAAGCAGGTCGGGACAAGTCACCACAGCCAAAATATATACATATTACTTGGAACTCTGCAGGAGAAAGCAAAAGGAAGCAATTGTATACTAGACCTGAGAACAGGACAACTCCAGACTAGCCAGTAGGGGTCTGGAAAGCACAATAGATCAGTTTGAGATTAGCATCTGAAACTGGAAGGGATTTTGCACAATTCACAGGGAGTAAGTGTAGGGCACAGTAAGATCTGAAGCAATCTAGTGGGTATGAATTCTTGAAAGCAACTGGTCATGGCTCCCTTGCAGAATAGGGCAACATACAGAGGAGAAACTGGTGAGTTATGAAAATTGAGCAGGATACATAGGCTCTGTTGTCAGACTGTCATTTTTTTCCTCTCTTTTTTTAATTGTGGGAAAATATACATAATAAAACTTTACCATCTTAACTACTTTTAAGTGTACAATTCAGTAGCATTAAGCATGTTTATGTTTTCATACAGATCTCCAGAACTCTTCATCTTGCAAAACTGCAATTCTGTGCCTATTAAACACTAATTCCCCATCCCTTCTCCTAGCCCCTGGCAACCCCCTTTCTGCTGCTTTCTATTTCTATGAATTTGTCTACTCTAGTACCTCATGGAAGTGGTAACTCAACTTTAAAAAAAAAATAAAGAAAAGCACCAAGAGTCAAACAAGACCATTTGGGACCCAGTTGCTTTCCTGTGGTCACCAGATTTTCTCTGGAATCCCTTCATGATGCCAATGAGAGACACTAGCTGGTGGTTCTTGAAGAGCTTTGTTTTTTTAAGTTACTGATAGTTAAGTTGAGCAATGATTGAGTCTAAGCCTGGCTGTCTCTCCAACTTCCCCTCTTTTAGTTATTGCCCAGACTGTTTATTCTGCATTTCATAACCCAATCTCAAAACAATACACACTAAAAGCAACAGTCTTGCTCTTAAAATGATAGCATGGTAGAATTTGAGAGATGAGGACTCATCAAGTCTGAGTGGTAAAATACTGTAGAAATCATTAGGTAACTTGCAGATTGAAATCAGATTGTCAAGTTTTAATTCCTTGCTCCACTAATTGCTAATTTGTGCCTTTGGACAGATTACTTAAATACTCTGTGCTCCAGTTTTTCATCTGTATAATGATGATGATAATACCTACCTTATAGGATTACCATGAAATGAGATAATACACATAGTAGTTCATGTAGTCATGATCTATCGGTTTCTTGTATCAGTTGATTAATATCATTAAGGAAAAAAAGTGAAAAAATAGGAGGAGGCAGTAAGGTTGAAGGAAGGAGAGAGTCCAGTTAAAATTGAGGAAATTTAGAACAGCCAGAAAACATCACAAAGCGAGTTGCTATATTTTTTAACATTGTAGAAGAAATGGAAAAAAGAGAGCTTTGTGAAATTAAAAAAGCTCTTCTCAACCATGCCTCCTAAGTATTTAGGAAAATAATTTTATAGAAATATAAACATCAGAAGAATACCATAGTCAAATTCCATATAAACTTATGAGAGAAAGAGACAGGGAGAGCTATTGAGATTAAGAAGTGGGATAATATTCCTACAGAAAAGCACACTAGTATAACAGGCTCTCAAAATAGATCAAAACCATTAATCTACTGTTTCAAAACAAGCTAAATGAAATTAGGAAAATGATTTAAGATGTGAAATAACAACATAAATTAGAGCTATATAAACTCAGAAATGAAGTGACAGAACTTAGGGAAGAAATAGAAATTTTCAAAAAATTTCAGAGCTGAA